AAAAAAAAAAAAAAAGAGTATGTTTTTTCCCTGAAACCTGGTTCTGTAAAATTTCCATCTGGAGCAAGGCATAGGGCCAAGGCACCTCTCAGAGAGGTACCAGCTGGGCTCTAAAGACTTGCCGTGACCTGCCCCCGACGACCCATCTCGAGGATGTCAGCTTCCTCCCTACCTCCTGGAGACACAGGGCAGAAACCATGAACTGGACTGCCTCTCCCATGCTGTGCATCTACCACATGGCAACAGCAGTTAACAGCCTCCCCTTTGCTGTTGGCCGATATACTTAGCCCTTGGAGTACTGTGGGCACAAGTACCCTCGCACCTGAAGACAATTCAAGATTCTGTCCACTTATAAAAATTATAAATGATAAAATTTATATAAAAATTCTAATAAATAATTTACATAAATATTTATAATCATATATTTAAAAGACCAGAAGGAATTTCAGAAGGTCACCTAAGCCCATTTCCCCACCCCACAGCATAAACCAACTCCCGTAGGCCAGAAAGACTTTGACTTCATGGCCAACCCTGCTTTGAGCACAAGGTTGCACTAGGTGACAGAGGACCCTTCCATCCCGAATTCACCTGCGACTCCTAAATTGCTGGTGCATAAATAGACAAGGCAGCTATTAGAGCTTCACATTAAAACACAAGTTTAGTCTGTAAGACAACAGAGGACAGTATCTAGCTCTTTGGATGTATTAAATTCTGCTATTTGCTCCCCTCTCTGGAGCGTAAGCATCCTGACAAAGGCTACAGTTAGGTGGGCATTATTCTTTCCCCTGGGCCTTTAAACTCAGACCCACAGACACACGTGGACGGGGGATAAAAGCATACAGGTACTGGATTTGGAAAACACCACATGAGTTTAAGTTTAGAGTCCTTAACTCTGAATCATAGAAAATAGATTTCCACTTACAGAAATCCACCCTGCCCCCCTTCTCTTTTTTTTTTTTAAAACACGCATCACATTTTTAATTCATATTCCCAGCATCACCGTCTTTGTTCCCAGGCACTAGTCCTAGCTGCTTTTTTCAAGTAGAGGGAAGAAATACTAATACTTTTGGTTTTATTAACAGTCTTCATGAAGAAAAATGAGCTAGCTAGGGCCTGACTTCTGTATAATGAATTATCCCAAGTCAGATAGCAGCTAGGGATAATACTGACCAGAGGGATGCAGAATGGGATGCAGAGAGCCATGAGAGCAGAGGATCACACAAGCTGCACTTTATACATGTTTGAGTAACACCTATTGACTAGAACTTCATCACTGAATAGCAAATACCTCAAACAAGTAAAGTTCCTTTTTCTGTAATTACAGGGCATTTTGAGATGTAATCTACAAGTCCTACTTGAGCCCCAGTTAATATATTCCTGATCAGATTCAACAGCAAGCAGCTGGTGACTCTCTTAAATTTACTTAGTAAAGGTATTGCTAGGACGTGCAAACGAAGACCTGCATGCTTCACTAAATTTCAAAAGAGGCTGCGTGCATCCAAACCTGTGGTACGCTTGTAACGTTATACTAGCAACCACACACTTCCACACTGAAAAAGATCTGCTCCAACATGATCTGTTGGGCACCATTACAGCATTTTTTCAGTATTATCATGTCTACTGTTTTTACATTTTGCTGTCTTCAAATAGGTTCAACATACCCCAGATGGTTACTGGGAGGCATTTTCCTGTTTTCCATTTACTTCTGACCTACCTTCTCTCCGCTGGAGTAGAAGAAGTAACGCAATCGGACAATGTTACAATGATCCAACTTTCTCATGATCTGGAGCTCTCGGTTCTGAAACAAAAGAGAAAAGCATAACAATTAGGAAAACTCTTTTCAAGAAGTTCAGGGGGCTATAATGGACACTTTAGTCTACAGATACCGGAGCTGGCAAAACTAGCGAACCAAAGAACAACTGGAAGCTGAAAAGAAAGGGGCAACAGCTTTCTTACTGTAAGAATCACTTGTGTGTTAGTCTCCCTTCCAATTACTTTACCACTGAGAGAGTATCTACATCTTTGAGTGCATTTCTCCCCTAAAATAAAGGTCCACAAATCCATCACAACAGCCCAAGAATTACCTACTTATTTTACCAAGTTTCAGAAATAAGAGGCGAGAAGACATTAGCTTCCCATTTTTATTTTCTGATCTTACAATAATACAAGACATCAGCCAAAACGGCTAGCACCTGAATAATGTAAAAACAATGCAAATAATGTAAAAACAAACCTGTGAAGAGTTTAATTTTCATAGCTGTTTTAAATCTTCATTTTTAAAATGTTCCGGAAATCACAAAAGCAATACAGAGCACCATGTTTGGATTTTTCAGGTTGATTTGGTGCAATCTCAACAAGAGCAAACAAAAGGAGTTTGTAAAAAGTGTTTTGTCTTCTCCGACAAAAATCTCTAAAAGCTCCAGAAACACCTGTTTGCTTCTTTAAATTGCTGTAGATATTTTAAAGTGACACCATTTCCACCTACACACCTTGCCCCCCACCTCGCAAAGCAGGTTTGTGATGGAAGGCTGTTTCCCATATCATTTGCATCGCAATACCAACAAAGAACTCCTAAAACTCGATTCTTACTTCCGTTTAACCAAAGTTTAACTAGATTTAGGCAGAGAGAAAATAGTGCTGCTTTTCTGTTTTTTGTATCAATCTGAGAAAAGCTGTTAAAACCGAACGACTTTATTATATGCATAATTTGGCGGGGGCTTTACTGGGATCCCCACTGTAACTGAGCCCTAAACAAATTTGGGACCTTATAGCCTAACAGGTTAAAAAAAAAAAAAAAGTGAATCATTGAAGTGCAGCTACGAATAAAAACAATAAGCAAGAAAAATTAGCACAGCCGTTTGTTAATACTTTATTCCAGAACCGCCACTACAAAACTCCTTTCTCCTACAGTCACATCTACGCATCACTATCCTTCATTGCTCAATCACCATACACTCTGCAGCTTTAAAAATGAAAGGTATTCCAGCCTTCGCTTGGCTCACAGGGCTCCTAGCCATATGTCCTAACTAGCTAGGACCAGCAATACACTGGTCCCGCTAGCATCATTAACTCTAATTTCAAGAAAATTTGGAAAGAAAAGGGTATAGCTGCCAAGCATTTTCATACTTAAACACGCAAAGGCAGTATCTCCTGTGAGAGGTGCTGCTGTTGGAGGGCAGATTTCATATTCTGTGCATCAGGGTGCACCTACGGTGCCTCTCACTACTATTAAAGCTTAAGGAACTTTGCAAGAACCACACTGAGCTTCTAATGCCAACATGATTACAAACTCTGCTTTTGATTCCTCTAAGCCATGTAGCCTTAAATAAGAGGTGCTAGACAGGATGCTGTATCATTAATCCTATCATCCTTGCCACCAGCTGACCAAAAAAAAAAAAAAAACACTTTAGCATTATCCAGCTCTTTGCAAACATGAGTGACATCTCACACAATTATCAGTTGGCAATTATCCAGTTGGTAGCTAGAAAGAGTAAAATTCCTTCCCTGAGCCTGCCTAGCTTCTAAGCTGATCAAAGCCCAAGTCTGCCAGGTACACACCGAGAAATGCCCATTCTGTCCTTGTTTGAGTATTTTTTTTTTAATATATATTTGGAGGCAGGGTGTAAAATACTGTTAACCACCTGAAGGCTGAAGAGAAAAAGTAGAGGAAATCATGGGGAGATCTTTCAGGCTTTCATCTGTGTCCCGAAATATAATGGGGTGAATTGGCGAACGACGACTACAGGCTTCACAATCTCATCAACGCACCTGATTTCCAATGAGGAAAAGTGTTCTTCAGAAAAGGGAGTTCAAGTAATCTCCGCTTATTCCATTCTTTATTAAACACCACCAGAAAGGAGTCAAGCTGGAGAGCGGTGGTTGGGCATGGCACAATTGATGGTACAACGCAGTGAGCTGAATTATGGATGGTTTGAGAGCCTACCAGTCACTGAATCGCCTATCACGACAAGAGACTAATTTCTGCAGTTGCCTTTTATAGTACTTAACACTGTTATTACAGGACTGAAAGTACGACTGGAAGTTCCAGTACCTAAATCCAAATCCACAAGCAATTCACTATACCACCTAGGGCAAATAATTTCTTCCTCCCTTTGTCCCGCTCACTGTTAAATGGAAATAATACCTTTTATCTCAGGGAATTACCGAGAGAAACGTGAACGTATTTAGCATGAATGTGTAAATATTATTTTAGCAATATCTCTACTAGCTCCTTAAAATACACATATACGCTGTAACTCAAGTTATCACCTCATGTTCTTAAGATAGTACGTATACCCTGATTGGATATGCCGGAAAAAAAAAGTCAGCAGAAGTTATTCTAACGCCAGGCTGAAGTTATATTTATACTCTGGTATCTCATTCTAGCATAAGCACAATCTGTGCCCACTTTGATGCCTTCCACTCTGATCCGTCTCCTTAGGCTCTTACCCTGACCATCTGCTGCAGCTTCAGGAACACTGCTGCAATGGGAGGTAATATCAGGGGTAGCTCATCAACCAGTTACACAGTAACCTAGATGTTACAGCCTAGAACTACACAGAATGAAGTAAATTAAAATTGTCCTCTTAGTCAAGTTAAAACTAGGCTGATTTTTAATCACCGCTTCCTGTTGGAGTTGATATTGGAAATACCCAAACAGTAGCAGAGCTGGAGTTGAATGTAGTGGCAGGAAGAACAGCTACTGAAGTTAAATATAACAGGCTGGTGGTTTTAAGAACTCATTTTTCTCAAAGAAATACTTCCAAGTATCCTCACATTACTACATAGTTCCCTGAACACAGCTTAAATAGATAACAGCCATTTCATGTTATAATGTGGGCTATTACTTAGTAGTGCACAAATGCATTGAGCAAAAAAAAAAAAAAAAAAAAAAAAAAGATTATAAGCAGGGAAAAAAACAATGAAAAAAAAAAAAAAAAAAAAAAAAAAAAAGATTATAAGCAGGGAGCCCAACTAAAGGGAACAATGACAGACGTCCTACACTGAGTACAACAGATAAAATGCATGTCTAAATATAATGCAAACTAAAACCATTTGGAAACATGCTGATTAGAAAGGCTGACAGTGCATGATCAAAATATAGGGTGGATGAAAACACAAAGCTTTTGCTTATCCTTAACTCATCATTTTTGTCTTCCAAGAGCGGAGTGACATGGGTGAAAAGTCAGATTCAAAGGGGAAGTTACTCTTCTTCCCCTTCCCCCATCCATTCACAGGAAGAGAAAGGTTTAGTTTTCATACTGAAGGAGAATTTCGGGCCCAGTAAGCACTGAAGAAAGCTTTACCCATCACCAATCTTGCCACAAGAGCGAATCCAGCAGACTTGTTTATATCGAAACAGAGAACTCCTAAAGCACGTGTTCTTTAGGGACGCAGCAAAACCAAAGGGACTGCGAACAGCTTACTCAGCCCCTTTTGGTCGCAGTTTGAATTCTTTATCTGAATCCAGAACGCCAAGGAGTTGCTGACACAACTCTAGTAGACTACAACCCATTAATTTAAGGCCTTCACTAACTAGGGAAGCAAATCCACTGCGCTCAAAACCTGTTCCTCACTTCTGAAGACAACTTGGCTAGGCCAGACCGCCTATTCATTATACTGAATAAACCTGGTTGCTCATCAAGGTATTTCCACTAGAGATTGCCAAGCCATCATCGGCTTTATAACTTCAAAACATAACCAATAAAGCTCACGCATGAAGACTCATGCCTTCTCCCCAGGGTTACCCCAACTCTTCTCAACCGTGTTCAAGCTGCAGTTGATTAAAAACTGCCAAAGCAAGAAGTATCTGTTTCACTACCATAACCTGCTGTTGCAGACTAGGAGAACCACCTTACAGATGGACAGCAGCAGCACAGGTACAGCCAAATTTCTCTTCATACACAGTCATCCTCCTCTTGTACATGGCATGTTCACAGTTTCTTCCTCTCCTCTGCTTCTATCATTTTCTCTCTTCTACCACGTTCCACCTTCCTCAGTACAGCTTTCCCCTAGGGACAAGTTGGGGGCAGGGGGGAAGGAACTGCTTTCCACCAGGAAGCAGGGGGGCAAAGATGAAGCAGCAGCTTCACGGGTTTTTTTCCCCTACTTCCATTAGGAAAGCCTGAATGACTACTCACTTCCACTCACCCATGTTCACCCCCTGCCCTGCTGAGCCTAGGGAATCGGTTCAGCCTGAAACCTTGAGAGATTTAAAGCAGTTTCATACAGCAGGAAAACTCTGACCATCTCCCAGCACGAGGAAAAGGTTGGACTCCAAGCACAAGGCAGCAGTCCTATGCCGACAGAGATCTGAGTACAATCCCAGGCAGCCACACTAAAGCTGGCAGAAGTGGTTCATTACACAACACTTGAGCCACATCTCCCAGGCTCAGCTTCATGAGACACACCAAGACAAAGCACTCTGGACCACAGTAGAAGCTGTCATACTCCATGCAAGCTGCCTGCAGTAGAGAAATAGCACCAGATAGGTTACCAAGATGTACTCGGATCATCAAGATCTGCTTATTTTCCCCTAATATCATTAGTAAAGCGCCAATCCTAATGTCTGGTTTATCTTAAGTTTAGCAGGACAAGTCGGTATAAGAAAAGTTGCACCATATCTTCTCTAAATATCCCTAAAGTTGCCCACCCTATACTTCCAATACATATTTCAAACACTGCTAATCACAAGGCTGATTTTAACATTGCTTTGTTCTGTCACCAAAAGAATTACAGGAACTATTCTGTGGCTCACAAACCCAACTTCCTTTCACAGGTGTACGATGATTCAGTCAC